TTGATGGTCCCGGAATCGATTTGGCGGCCTCTGCCTTCCATGCTCAAGTCATGGCTCCGCAACTACATCGGTGGAAATCTCCTATACTTCGTATCCGGATTTATTTGGTGCTTCTATATCTACTATCTCAAGCGCAACGTTTACATTCCCAAAGGTTTTTGTTTAAATTGTTTGGTTTTTTGGGGTTTAGATACTCTGCGGATTGATGTTTTTTACTGTTTAGATGTTGATTGGAAATTTTATCTTGCGAGGCTTCTAGGATTAGGCGTGTTTTGTTTGATTGTTGATTCTTTAAAAGCCATGTTGTTGCTTTAGTCTTTGTTTGAGATTTTTCATTGGTGTTGCTTGTTGAACCACTTTGAAGGTTTGTAGAGAAAGATGAATATGCAACAGTTGAAGGATACTTTGTATGGAGGTAGAAAGGAGATAATCAGCGGGAGTTAAACGACAAAGAACAGGACAGGACACTAGAAAATTTTAGTGATTTTAAGCAGACTTATGGCCGCTTTGTATTCGTTCAGAGTTATCTATACAGTATGTGAGTTTATTACAGAGAACTTCATCTCTATCGAGTGATTCACACTTCTCCGTAAAGCTCCGCGGGCATTGTAGAATTGTCTCCCGTAGATATGCCCCCGACGTGACGTCAGTGGAGAAGTCTGTAGTTCGCCGTAGCAAAACACTCGTTGGGAGGTCCTTGAAATCCTTTAGCTCATATTTCCCGAATGATTCAAAAGATAATCAATTAGTCATAACACAAGCGTAAATTGACGAAAGCAGTAATGAATTATAGTTTTGTGTGGGCGTGAGGTTTCAAAGAACTAAGTACGCCAACCTCATTGAATCTGTCACAAGAAGAAGACAACAAACCTTATAAAACATGACCTAACTCAGTTGCCTTTAGTTCACTTAATACCAAGCTCGTGTGTGTCACATATACATATCATCAAAAAAATAATGAATCAGAAGTATCTAAAAAACCCCTGCACCGAAAAAGAAAAGAGGAACTTGGTTGCCTTTATCAAGATTTCACATTTAACACCAATCAAAAACGACTAACAGACCATTCAGAAGTACCTCAAAAACCTCAACATCAAAAAGAAAAGAGGAACTTGGTTGTCTTTATCAGGATTTCATATGTTACACCAATCAATAGTGACTAACTGATCATCCAGAAGAGCTCAGAAAGGCGAACGTCGAACCTCACAAATCCACAAAAAATAGAACAAAAATGAATCAAAAAGTAGAAAAATAATTACAAACAACATAAACTTAGAATATCTAAAATATCAATAATACATGGAACATAAAATAAACATAAATATGATAAAATAAATAAGAATCGTCTAATCAACATCCAACAATGGCGTCAATAATACACTCGCAAACTAACCATTTCTGCTGCAACTTCGCCATCCTGGGTGTAACCTTCCTGTGACACTGCCTCTGGCTGTGGTATAGATTGACCTACGTGAAATTCAAATGCTTTTAGCGGTACCTGGAGTAGCCCTCCAACTCATTTATCACCAATATAAGTGGATGTGATGCAGGGAGTTCGATCAATGTATGTGTTTAGTAATCATACAACAAAACTACTATCACCAAAATCTTTCTTCTCAATCTCTCTCTGTGAGTCAATGCTAAAGAAGTGTTTTGTTCATGTAATATGTGTGATTTAAACAACGTTAAAAAAACATAAAAAATCTAAAGACAACAACATTGAGAAGAAATAAATACATAACAACATTTAAAAGGCAAAAACACCAAATCAAATTGTTCATGCTAAAAAAAAACATCCAAATCAAACATCCCATTAAACAAACGAAAAAAAAAACAAAAGCTTCTAAATAATAACTCCGCAATATCATTTGTCCTTGTTGTTCATAAAGAAACGTAAATGGTCGGCCCTACGATCAGAGGGCATCTTCATGAACACCTGTCTGCAGGTCAGATCCTCCAACAACTTCAAGGAGTTCAGATACAACGATTTAACCCCATAAACTTTGGGATACGTCTGCGGAACTAGGAGAAAGTCGTTTATGGAGGTGTCATGTGAAGTACCAGCTTGAATCACACAGTCACCCACCAGTTTTGTTATTTGAGTTCTAACGAACCTGGGACGCTTTGACCAGCATGCGGACTCCAGCTTCTTTTGGTTTAGGCTGGGGCCTTCACCGAACCCACTTACATGCTCGGTCTCTAAGTCCTCTGGTGTGCTTGCAAACTCATGCTCACTCAGGGTGAACGCATGAGTGCCCGTTGCAACAACCCCATTGAACATACGACCCAACTTGTCT